CACACACCTCTGCGCAGTATTTTGGGCTCTTCCGTCCAATACGCGATGTATCACTGTCATTGTTTATTTAATTTTTGCAATCTACGTACAATAAAATTGTTATTGCTGAAATGATAAGTGTAAATGTGTATACTGTACATTCAACCTTCGTTTTAAAATCATTATTAAGGTCTCGCTGGACCAGGATTCTTGCCGTCCTGGAGCGTGTTGTAATTGTATATGTACATATACATGCGTATTTTTTAATATCAGACGATACTTTACTCGATAATTAGGGTCGCTTATTAGAGTATATAAGTATAAAAGAAAAAAAAAAAAAAACAATTTGAGAGCGGCATTCCCGACGCCGATGTCTGCGATGAACGATCTCTGAAAGGAATAAAGCACTTTCACGTAGCCAAAGTCTTTGAATTCAAAACTCCGATTATCCATCCTTTTATTCCCTTTCTCAAACAAGTTTATTTACAAAAATTCAAATTACATTAATCAAATAATTATATTTTTTTTTTTTTGGATTTTTATATATTATAAATATAATTGTTAGCCTTAATTTTTTTATTAATAAATTAGCACCTTTTCAATTATCAATAACTTGTGAAATAATTAATAATTGAGGCAAACAATTATGGATTAACAATGAGATTTTAGTGAGCCATAAGTTGCACATATTAGTTTCTTACTGCTGTAGGTTTTCTATGCTGTCTTAATTTGCGTGATGGGTTAAAATTAGCACCTTTTTAATTATCAATAACTTGTGAAATAATTAATAATTGAGGCAAACAATTATGGATTAACAATGAGATATTAGTAAGCCATAAGTTGCACATATTAGTTTCTTACTGCTGTAGGTTTTCTATGCTGTCCTAATTTGCGTGATGGGTTAAAATTAGCACCTTTTTAATTATCAATAACTTGTGAAATAATTAATAATTGAGGCAAACAATTATGGATTAACAATGAGATATTAGTAAGCCATAAGTTGCACATATTAGTTTCCTACTGCCGTAGGTTTTCTATGTTGTCTTAATTCGCGTTGTGGGTTAAAATTATCAGATTTTTAATTATCAATAACTAATGAAATATTTAATTAGTAAAGCAAGCAATTATGAATTATTATTAGTATTAGCTTCTTTCTGCGGTAGGTTTTCTATGATGTCGTAATTTTCTAGTAAGTTACTATAAGATCTCGGTCGGTAAGATAGAGGTAGATCACTACTATTACTGATATCGGCTTAGCCATGTTACTAGAATTTCAGTATATTTTAAACTTTCTTATTTTCTAGTAACTTCTAATAGCATGTAGTGTACACAAAGTGAATGTGTAATTAAATTTTATATACATTTAAAAACAAATAACAATTAGAAATCTAATATAGATATGTTGTTTTAATTATTAATTAAAGGAGTTTACTCGTTAAGAACGATTGCTTGGAACAGGTACACACACACACACAGGAAAAAACTTACTAGATTAAAAAAAAACCCGATATCATATTGGCGCTAGAAAGATCGGAGAAAAACGGATAAACAAAAAGTGAGTAATTGATTGAAAACAAAAAATATTAGAAAACTTCATTGCTCTGCTTAGAAATAGGAAAAAACGTTATTGTATTTTCTATTATTTGTAACTAATTAAATAAATAAATAATGAAGTGTTCAATTATGGATTGTTAATATGTAATTAATGTTCAATTAAGAGTACTTATTCATTTTTTGCTGCTGTTAAGGTTCCTTGTCAGCGTTTCCACGGTGAGTTATGCATATTTTTAGATCGGTGTAGAATTTCTGTCGATAAAGAAGAGTCATTTTAATACGGAACAGTTACCGACGTTGGGGTGTTGCAGTTTTTCTGGGAAGATAGAGGACGTACGTGCAGTTAGGAATGAAATTTTGTAGTTCGTTGAAAATGTAACGAGAATTACAGAAATAAAAGGTAATTGTGTGTATAATTGTTTAAAATGTATATTTATGAGTGCTTATCAAACTTCAGTGATTGTTAATAGAAGAATATTCTGTTTACATATGATTATTGATTTCATCCAAAAACAATGTGTCCATTATACGAATCAAATGCATATTGAATTGTACATTTTATTTTTCCCCATATTGAGACTAAACTATTATATATTTCTCTATTAATAAATAATAATCGTAAGAGAACAAGTGAAAGAGAGATAAATATTCATTGGTACTTTCAATATTAAAATGCATTGATGTTGATGTAAAAACTTATGGTTTCATTTTCAATTTTATTTATAGTGTTTTTATTAGAAGATTTATCATGGAAATAGAGTAACATTATCAAATGTTAAACAAAATATTTCATTCCTGAGGGCTAAATTGAATAGTTAATTTTATTATGGAACAAGCTTGTCAGTCCTCAAGACCATTGGATTCTATGACTGCTGAATTTGATTTTTCAGAAGTTTCTATAGTAAGTAATGTTTAATAAAAAATAGTATAGTCTTTTTATATTATATTACTTTATATATTATGTTACTATTTACATTACTAGTCATGGCTTTAGAGTATTGGTTTATCTTTATTATTATTTTACTTTCAAACACACCACAAATTAAGTTTAGTTATCATCATAATGAATGCTACATTATGAATTAGCTTCTTTAAACTATAAATTTTCTATTTTTTTATTAATAGTCACTTGAAGTTACTCATTTTTGTTACCACAATGATTATTTTCAAAGCTATGTGGGGGATCCTATAAAGTACAAACTAGCAAAAGATGATTTTATATGGAAAATTAAGTCGAAAATGTAGAATATAATTTGTTCATACAAAGATTTGTTTTTAAGAAAAATAAGTTGGAAAATTTGTTGATTATGCATGAACTTGGTTCAGTTGCAGCTTGATGAATTTTACTATCTATAATTCTTGGATATTCCATAGAGCATTTTTGTATTTTCTAATACATAAATATATATATATATAAATACTTACAAACATTGTCAGTACAATGATATCTTTTGTATCGGTTCTACACTTATGCTTATCGAAGAAGACTTTTAGTTTCCAGGATTGTAAATCTAGTTGAGTGTATGGGTATTTGATATATTTTCAAACTTATTTTTCTCTTCTTTCTTGAACAAAATTTATTCTACATTTTTTATTTTATTTTTTGCTTGTATCACTAATTACAAAAGACCCTGTATATTTATGAATGATTTACAAATTATATTCAATAGTTATATGGTATACGTCTTTTTTTTGGAACTAGACTTAAATTATTAAAATAATCTATGAAAATAGAATGTGCAATTACTTTTACATTGCAAATTATTAATTAATTTAGTTAATGCAAGTAGATTGTAGATCTATAGAATTAATTGTGAACAAACTTTTTAGTTTAACAGAGAAAAAATCAAGATTAAACAAGAGCCATGTGATAGGAACAACGTAAAGATGAATGACAATTGTGTATCGACTAATATACAGTGCAAATATATCGACCTAACCGAGGATAATAACAGTGAGGAAGAAAATGTTCCTTCTACAACTAAAAATCTTAGTAACAATGTAATAACTAGTCGAATTAGAATGGAATCTATTTTAATGGGTAATGCAATAATTGAAAATAGTAAACATCTACAGCAAAAGAAACGTTCGTTTGTCATAAATAAAAGTAATGAAAATGTTGGGACGTTAGAAAAAAGTGATAATATTAATAGATTTAAACTAGAAAGAGATGAAGTACAGTTACATAAAACGACTCAATGTAACATATGTTTTTTGTCGTTCCGCAGTCAGAAAATTTTAAATTTTCATAATAGTTATTATGAACGTACTAATATTTATTTTTGTAACAGTTGTGCTTCCAAATCTTGTTATCACATTAAAGAGAAAAATAGTAAGAAGGCGTGTTTATGTTACATTTATGAATGCGATATTTGTAAAGGACGGTTTAAGCATAAGAGACGTATGCAAGCTCACATACTTCATTACCACAATAAAGAAATAAATGAGATGGACGTCGTAGAAACTGATAAAATTATGATTAATCATTCGACTGTTTCACATTCCATCACCCCAATCAAGGATAAATTGATACAACAGAAATGGGACAACGAAAGAGAAACAGAAGGAACGGTTAATGAAAACTTACACAACTCTGAAGCGAGTATGTGTGAATCATTAACAATGATTAAACAAGAAAAAGAATGGACAGATGATCAAGAAGGTGAATTATCGATGGATCATATAGTTTCAAATGTATTTCAAACTAAAAACAAACCAAAAGAAAATAGAATGCAATATAAACAACCGTTTGTTCAAATACACATTAACAAGAATATGATGGAAGCTCTTTTAAAAATTTCGGATAACAATCTCCTTGACAAATCTTTGCCATATGACGGTAATACTAATAGTAATACTAATAGTAATAATTATAAAAGTAATAATAGTATTACTACAAAATCTTATGCATTACCTTCCCTAAATAATTCAAAAGAGGTTAATAATAGCGTAACATCACCTACAGTTGTACAGAAAAATAATCAAAGCGATGATAAATTAAGTAAACATTTAAATGCGTGTAAACCATGTATAATTCCTCTGGTAAAATGTGATAGTATTATAAATGTAATAACACCAACTAAATTGAATTCGAATTTTTTACAATTTAATAGACTATCTTCTCGGATTTCACGATCATCACTTAATCATAAGTCTATTAACTGTAAATTAAGACCTATAAAAAGAAAGGGTACCACGTATTCTTCTATCGAAGAACTGCCCGTAAAAATCACTCGATCGCGAAGTATTAATAGTCCATTAGAATTACCTATAAGCGATAATATTATACATCGTAGGAATAAAAGGATGTTTGGTCAAAAATTGAAAAGATCTCCGAGAAAAAATAATATAAAGAATTCCAAAATTACACCGAATGTTGAGAAACTCAATACTGATGTATTGAAAAACAAAAAACTTTCAATTAAGAATGTTATATTAAAGGAAGTTAAAATATCTTTGTTAAAGTTACCGGAGATTAAAAAGGAAATAATCGAGTCGGCAAATATTGGAAACGAAATTACTCCTGCAGAAACTTTTCCTTGTAAAATTTGTAATGCATCGTTGACATCGGAGAAAAATCTGAAAAAACATGTAAGGAAATGTCACACGGCGTATATTTCAACTATTTGCAAAGCGAGGTATACCTCGAAACAACTTTTATTGAATCATTATTTAAAAGAACATGACATGTGGACTAGCAAATGCTGCGTTTGTCAACAATTCTTAAACAGCCGATTATTACTAAGACAACATTTGCTTTTACATTGTATTAAAATAACTTTATCGAAGAAAGATCGTCCTGTTTCAAATAAGAATTTTAAATGTAGTTCATTTAAAAATTATAATTGCAAATCTACTGCTTTTAAAATAATACTGCGAATGCCGAAATCGTCAAAGAAACGTCTAAAAATTAATCATGATGATAATAAATATTATGTTGATAAACCAACAGAGCATCAGAAGATCTATAATAATGATAAGAATAATAAAGAAAAACAAAAGAAACATCAAGCGATCGATAATGGTGAGAATAATAAAAAAAAAACAATAGAACCTGAAGAAATTAATAATGATAAGAAGAATAATCAAGAGAAAACAATAGAACCTGAAGAAATTAATAATGATAAGAATAATCAGGAAAAATCAATAGAATTTCAAAAGGTTGATGATAATGACGATCATAGCGATTATCTAGAAATATTAGAGGATAATTTTAACGTAAATAACGCTGAGAATATGACGAAACAAGTTAGTAAAAGCAAAGAGAATGATGATGCTAGTGTTATTGAAAAAAGAAATGAACCACAGACTGATTCCGTAATCTATCTTGATTTAATAGAACCATTAGAAAGTGATAATACTGAAGTTCCTTGTTCTAGTAATATGATAGAAGAACCAATAATGGATCCTTTGCAACTTGTTGACTCAACATTTATCATTTGTAATCCTAATGAGAATACACAAACAAAACTAACATTAAATATTAGTAATTCGATACAACCGAGTGTTAACGACAGTAACGAGCCTATAGAAGTAACAGAAATTACAGCAGAGAAGAAAAAATATCCATGTTCTATTTGCAAACAACAGTTTCAAAAGCTTGAAAGTTTGCAACAACACAAACGTACCTACGAGTCGTCGTCCAATAATTATTGTAGCCACTGTGGGCTTTCTTTTTCGACTAAAAAGGTATTGAAAAATCACATGGATGCTGCTCACGATATAAGTATTTGTAATTCATATAAAATGCATTGCCAATTTTGTAATCAAGGTTTCCGTACTCAGAACAATCTTCGAATACACGAGTTGCATTATCATACAACAGCAGTAACTAAAAACAAAAAAATCACGGATTTCTTGCAAATTTCGAAGAGCGAAAATAATCAATCGACAAAAATGATTTGCAAGGTTTGCGGCGTATTCTTTGACACTGTCGAACGTTATCAGTTACATAATACGTATTTTCATAAGGATCATATATTTCACTGTAAATTATGTAACAAAGTATTTCACGGATTGTATATGATGAACCGTCACAACAAACTTTTCCATCAATCTGGAGATACTTTATTATTTTACAAATACAGATGCATATATTGTCACGAAGGATTTGCTGTCGAGATACAATTGCAAGCGCACATGTCACACGTGCATCCGAACAAACAAGTAGACAAATCATCGTTAAATTCCATGAATTATAATGAAACTAATAGATCATACGTATGTTCAAAATGTAACATGGAATTTCTTAGCGTTACCGAACTATTGATTCACATTGAACATTTTTCGGATTATGGCAGTTATAGATGTTTCAAATGTTCTCGAAAATGTTATAACTTATCGATACTCAACAATCACATGAATCTGACTCATTTCGATAACGAGTTAACGAAAAAATACATGTGTGATATTTGCGGTGAAGTTTTAACATCCGAAATTTTTCTTTTGTGTCATCAGAAACACGTTCACGGTGAGTTAAAAAATGAACAAACCGTATCCACTGTCATTAACAAAAATCCTACAACTGATTTACATATTGACGAGATTGCTAATGACGATGTATTAAAAATCGATAATGAAACGGTATTACATACGAATCCTCCTAATTCCATTCCGAACGCTGTCACAAATTACAATTTTTATTGTTCGATATGTCCCGTTAAGTTTGATAAGGAAATTTATTTGAAGGAACATTTGATCGAATATTTGGATTACGGCGATTATCAGTGCAACGAATGTCTAAGGCGATTCGCAAATGTTGATTTTTTGAAAAACCACGTTGAAAATCATTTGAGACCGGGTATGGTCAAGACGAAATATTATTGCATTCTTTGCAACGAAGTTTTTAAATCCTCTATGGTCCTCGAATCTCACGTTGCTCATTTGCACGCACGTATTATTTTTAAAGATGATTTGCCAAAGGATGTTTAATGTTTTTTCATTTCTTTTTTTTTTTTTTTTTCCGTTTTTTTCATTTAACACTAAACCTACTGATATTTAATATATCGTGTGCTGTCAAATGTTTTCCAAAAAAAAGACATATGTTATAATATAGAATGAGATTTCAGTCAATTGGATTATGAATAAAATATTTTCTTTTATATATTTAAAAATATAAAATAATTTTTTTCATTGCATTTTTTACAAATTACAGAAAGTAGTCATTTATTTGATCGCGCGTGGTAGGTTTAGTGTTAAATATCTTAAAATCAATGTAGTCGTATATTGTATCTACGTATATCCTTCCATTACATTAAATTAAATTGAAATAATAATAATAAAAATAAAAAAAGAAATAAAAAAATAAAAATAAAAATAATAGTAATTAAAAAAGTTTGTATATCGAATTAAAATACGTCAAATAAATCTATGGATATTATTAAATTATCTTATTAGGTGATATTTTAACAAAATGTAACAAAATGTAACAAAATGTGTGTACTGACTCTTCCAATAATTTGTTTCTTATATTCAATGTTACTTAGATATCACAGATTAATAAATCTATTATTAATTACTAATAAGTAAAATCCTTTGAAAAAAATTCCAAGTATCGTGACGGGAATATACACCAACATAATAACAACAATAATAATAATAATTCATTGAGCTTTCAATTTTTGAACGATCTTAATTAAACATTTTTTTTAGTCAGATATATATATGTATATATCTTCTTTTTTTTTTTTTTCTTTTAATTAAAACTTTGTCTTGTTATAACAGCTTTTTTAATTGCTATTTCTAGGAGCGATTTATTATTTTTACCGAGGGTAGGTTGCTAGCCTCATTTTCAAATATATATATATATATATATATATATGTGTTCAAATATAATAAGAGTTATTTTATACGAGTAAGTTAATGAATAGTCAATTTGAATAGTTATAAGTTTAACAAATGTTAATTTTGTATACATTGATCGACAACATGAATTATATCTTCGAAGAAAAATGATTGATGCTTAATAAAAGATTGCGAAAAAAGAAGATCTGGGTGTGAGAAAAGTAATGAAAAATATTTGAAGGATAGAACAAAGTTGATCATGGTCTTGTTATCTTCACTTTAGATGATGAAAATCTAACTCTCGTAACTGTCCTAAGGTGGTCTCTAATGCCCGACAGCCATAGAATTTGCGATGTATACGTGAGACCTTACATTGATTGCGCCCCGAAGCAAATCGCATTTCTAGCCTTTGTCGATTCCACCGAGACGTCGAACAATGAGCCGCGATGTTAAAATTGATGACGCGTGAGTTTGAATGGAATGAGCAAACCGATCAACTCGATAGTACTTCCAAGTTTTTAATATGTCAAACAACATTCTATGTTAAATTAATCAGTTTTTTTTATTGGCAACCATAATCTTTGTGATTCATTTATTCGTTAGTTTTATCACGAAATATTTTCACTTTTAAATTCTTAAATTGAATTTATACATATTATGTTATCAAACTATTCTTTTTATTATCCAAAGTATTATTAATTATATTAGTTATATAAATACGTATTATAATCATCGAATGTGGATGGAAAGACTTGTGTTCCATTTATTATTTCTTTTCTTATAGTATTATATGTAGTATATATAGTATTCGATATTCGCAATGTATTTTGTGTTATACGCTTGTATTTTATCAATCCAAATTGAAATAAATAAATGATTTTTGAGTAAACAATTTGATGTTCGATTAGAAAAAAAATATACGAATCTTCGATTATATATTTCCTGAATATTATTAATAGCCAATAATCGTAATTATTTCTATTATGATCTACGTAATATTGTTAAGTTAATTTTATTCATTATATATATATATATATATATTCATTGTATGCCAGTAAGGAAACAAGTTGGAAATATTCCATTTCTCTTAGGAATAGGCGCATATCAAAAAACGAGACGCTACGAATGAGGCAGCTGTTACATCTACGGAATAGCAATGTGTAACTTTGCAGGTAAAAGAGGAGACTTCTCTCGAGCATACTGGAAACTACCTTTTCCTCATTTTACTCTTTTTCCAGTAGCCATATTTTCGGGTAACACTCGAGTTTATACTTCACATTACGCAGACCTTGCTTTATTGAGGTGCAAAGCAGATAACCGAGAGAAATCACAATTCATAGCACCTTCTCCACTTTCTTTCTTTCTTTCTTTCTTTTTTTTTCATCCCCTTTCCTTTCCTCCCCGCTGATCACACCCGTCTTCCCCTATTTCCTCTTCCAACTTAAGTTACACTCCCTAACTTCGATCTACCCTTCCTCTTTCGAGTATAACGGTTGTTCCTACCGAAAATGAACTCAGCTTGGTATTTCCTACTGATAACAGCACCATCTGGAATAGATGGAATTTTGTTGTCACCCTGTAGTTCAATGGCCGTTTATCTCCCGCTCGAGACATCGTTAACTCTTTCGTGAAAAGAGAAGATGGATGGTACGTACAAAGGGCACATCGTTCAAAAAAACCAGCTTCAACGAGTTTCCTCTTCGTTCTTTCATTCTTTCAACATACTTTCGAGTACTCTTGATCTAGTAGTTTGCGATTGACTTTAAGACGATTTACTTTGTTATTGAATTATTTCGAGGACGATTCAATTAAATGTTTTATATTTTTATTTATATTAATCGAATACAATGAATATATTAATTTATGATATTGTTTAAGTGAAACTTTCCAGACGATTTTTATCAAATTTTGCCCAATTGCAATAATCTATAAGAATATACATTGTGGCTTTAAACACGGCTTATCTATTCAGAAATTTGGACGATACGCAGATAGAAATATCACATAGATTCGTATTCGTTTAGTGTATTAATCTATGGTTAGCAGAATTATGTGTGTTCGTGCTACATAACAATGTATATGTCATACATAGTTTTTATCTGTGTCTTCAGAAATGATTAAAAGCTCAAATAGAAGAAAATTAAAACAAGAAGAATTCCAATGACGATTACCTGTAACAAAAAGAAACATTTATTAATCATACAATCAGGTGATACAATAGCCTGACATATAAATCGTCCAATTCGCGGATGCACTTTTCAATTGAATTCTTTATTTACTTTTATCAAATCTTTATTTACCGTTACAATAAAATTAAATTATAACGCGTGATTCTACATTTAGATAAAATATATTTAGAAAAATAAACAAGTACAAATATTAGGTTACTAAACAAAAATAATATCTATTAATTATYATGCAATATTTTAGAAACTGCATTATATAGAAAAGAAAAACTACAAATTTAATAAAATACRGTGACAGTGAAAAATCTTAAAAAGACGAAAGAAGAATAAAGAAATTACTGTAATATTTACCGAACGTTATTTAAACTTAAAAATTTAATAATATGAAAATTTTCAAATATTTGACTCGAATTAATAAAACACATATGCATCTTTTAGACGATTTTGAGGGACACAAATTTGGTGTCCCAAGGAGATGGGATGGTCCRTCATCTCCAATTACAACTACAAATTAATGACGGGCAAAAAAGTAATATAATAAAATATAAAATATGACTAAAGAGCTATTCTCGAAAAGTTCGAACTTGCTGTTGAACCTTTGGAAATAACTCAATAGTTTAGAAGTTGCCCACTTGATACCACAAATGTGTGGGGGCCTCTTCAGCAATTAGCCTCTTCTTTCTTCATCCCTGAAAACTGCATTGGACATTTTCTACGTGGAAGTAAGATAAAATATTTCATACTTTGTTTTCCAAATTAACTCGTAGTTTGTTTGATGATTTTAATTTTTAATTATTAAAAAATTAATTTACATTTTCCGTTAGCTATTCACAAGCTCGTGAACTATCAATGAATTTAGAGTTCATTAACATATAAACGAGCACAATTAGTCAAATGTCCAAGCAGATAATTATACTTGATGACCTAGTAACACGTCAAAGTAGAATAATAGATATTTAATATTTTAATGTTTGATAATAGATATGTAAAATTTTAAAGAATATATTACGAATTCGTAAGCAATATTATCAATGATGTACAAAATAATATCCTATTAAGGATTCTTTAAAAAGAAAGAGCCTACTATTTATCCATTGCAGCTATGATTTTAAAAAGAAACCTGCAAAAAAAAAGAAATGTTATTCTAGGACTGTAAAAATGCAATGAATGAATCGAATGAAATCTCTTTTATAGATCGTTACTTAAATTTCAACAATTGTGGACTACTCCTTGGTATCTGTAAATATATAAAAGTTATTAAAAAACATTATAAAGTAATTAGTTTCTGTATATTAAATGGATAAAAGGAACCAAGGATAGGAATAAAGGAATATGATATCAGTTAATTAGGGATTTAATAGAAACTAATTACAATTATAATATTTTATGTAAGCGGTCTTTGGCTAGATTTTACTTGCAATGGAATGTATAACATATAAAATATGTTAAACATTATACTGAAAGTAAAATACCATTGCCCAGGTCTAACCACGAGGAGGTAACCGCTTCCGAAGACCCGGGATGTGCATCCTGAAGATGTCCCCATCCGAATTAAACTGAAACCAATGAAAATGAAAGCCCCGAGAACGTTTTTTACTGAGCCCCACTCTTAGGCCCCACCCTAAAAGTTTTATTCAAAAAATCCTTACGATTACTATCGAGAATGAAGATAAAAGTCTGAATACCAAATAACAAAATGATAAACGAGAAATGAAACATGAATAGAATCGAAATAACATGGAACCTATGAACAAATAAAATACATTAAAATACATTAAAAATACACCATACATAATTATCACATGCGTGCGTTGCTAAGGGGAGAAGAATAAACATATGAAAATTATACACATTTAATTATTATAAAGTCCTTGTTTGGTCCTCCTCTGGTCCTCCTCTTATTGAACCTGCAACAACAAAAAAACAAAGGGGTAGGAAAGAAGAAGAAATGTAGCTCTAAAAACGAATCTGAAAAAGAAAAAGAAAAGATTATTTTAG